CGCCTTTTCAGATTCGCTAGTGAAGGTATCAAGAATCCCAAAATCTGAAAGTAAAGATATAAAAAATCATCTTTTCCCAAGAAATACCTTTTGTTTTGATAATTTTTTCTTTTGCTACATGACATGATCACTTCAGAACGTATTTTGAACTACGCCACATGACGAATTTGGTCAAAATGAGGTTAATTACCTAATAATTGCAAGACACAGAAATTGCCGCAATTTATAGGACGGCAGCAAAGAAAGAATGAGTTTTCATGGGTACTGAGTGATTGGAGCGGTTTATGAGATGGCGAAATTGCACTGGGTGTTAGACAGGCCCTTTGGTCGTTTCGGTGCCGGGATGTTTTGGTCAGACTGCTGACCAGTCCAGTGGTCAGTTTGTACACTGTTGAGTTCGAGTACGAGTGGGCTTTCTCTCTGTAGCTCCACAGTTTTACTGTTATTGATGCGAGTCCTTATTTTTTACGATGGGATTCCACCAGGATTCCCCTCCCGTGGATTCCGTTCCGACCTGTGTCAGCAGCAGCAGCATTACAGTGCGAAAGGAAAGTTGCTGCCAAGATATGGAAGAGACAGGGTTTCGGGTGAAAGTAGCCACTTGCAAGAAATAGCGGGGAAAGAAAGTGGTTTCTTAGAGGTAAATATTGTGATCTGCAAGAAATGCAGGGTGCAAGAAACTATTTATGGCTGGCCGATACAGTTCATAAGGAGCGTGGCTGGATGGCGCATATTTCACGCACTTTCTCCCATTTTCTTGCATTTCGCATTTCTCTTGCGTTTTGCTTTACGGTGAAAGAAATGTAGCAAATCTGCAAAAATAATTAAACATTCGTATGAAGGTTTCGGGTGAAGTAATGATTTTTTTAAGAAATAACTAAAAGAAAGTGGTTTTCAGCAGCAATTTGGCTATTCATAGCTGGACAATGCAGATTTCTTCCACTTTCTCCCAGTTTCTTGCACCTCACATTTCTGTCATTGCTTGCTCTGTAGAACAAGAAATGTAGCAAATTTGCAAGAAATGTAACAATTGTGTCAGGGTTTCAGGTTAAAGTAACGATTTACAAAAAATTACGGGGAGAAAGTGGTTTCTTGCGGTTGAGTATTTTAACCTACAAGAAATGCAAAGTGCAAGAAACTACTTACTTCCCTTCGTTCTAATTCAAACGGTGCGTGGCTGGATAATTTATATTCTTGCACTTTCTCCCAGTTTATTGCACTTTATATGTATTTATTAAATTCCTTACTTTCCACTGCAAGAAATGTAGCAAACCCCCCAGAAACGAAACCCTGGTACGAATCTCCTTGTGAGAAAGAACTGCAGGATGCACACAATATTATTTGAGTGGGGAAGATGACATGTCGAGAAGAAGGCAATCAACTCAAGTCTTGGGTTCGTCGTGGTCGAGGTGAAAGCAGACAAGTTATTGATTGCAGTACTTTCACCGTGTTCTGTTGGCCATACATACGTGTGCAGTTTGGTCGTATGTATTATGTAATATTTGTACACTTGCAGTTGTGAGGGATGAACGATCATAAAACGAGAAAAGAGATTGCTTTCACTCGCCTATTTCGCGAGAGGATTTAGCCTGCGGGAAAGGCTAGAAAGAGACCAATTTTGCAAGTGGTCGGTTGGTAAACGACCGAGTAGGTCGGTGGTTCGTAGACTGCATAATATTAATATTGGAGAAAGTTGTGGGGAGAAAGTGGAAAGGTTAAGATCGTGGTGAAAGTTATGCAACGAAAGTAAGACACAGCTGGGAAATGATCTTGAAGAAACGACTGGGTTAAATAATTGTTTCATAATAAAGTTGTCGTTTTTAAATAGTTGGAAGAAGAAGGACAGTAGTTTTTATAACTTGGATATTGTGTAATTTGGATTTTTGTGTAATTATGTAGTACTTAAATTGTTGGAATTTGGACAGATAAAAGACATGCATTCACTGGTTTCAAATGGCTCCTAATGGATTTGAGGATTGTGTAATCTCTGATTTACATAACGCTTTCACCCTGTTTTCCGGAAATGTTTTTTGGCACCGGGTGCACAGCCTCCTGCAAGCAATAACTGCATGCTTTACTTACTTGTCCTACTGACATGAACAAAGAAGGTTACCAAACAAATGGGCGGAGAAAGCTGTAGGGTTTTATGATTCTTAGTATCCATGTTTTTGAGGCCAGTTGTACTTTTTGTCCAGTTTTTTTTGTTCTAACAATGGAGGTCTCCCAACGTATGCTCAGATTTGGACGAAACTAGTGTCAATCGATCACAAATATAATTAGTATGCAATTTGCAAATGCAACTATCTGCCAATGCGCAGGTTTGGCAGAGATATTTGCATAAAAAGAGGAGAAAATGCGCAGGAAATTTGGAAAATGAAAAATATGCCAGCCTTTAGGTGAGTTTTCTCCTCTTTTTATGCAAATATCTCCGGCAAACCTGCGCATTGGCAGATAGTTCCATTTGCAAATTTCATACTAATTGTATTTGTGATCGATTGACACTAGTTTCGTCCAAATCTGTGAGCATACGTTGGGAGACCTCCATTGTAAGTTGTCCCAATTGTTAAAAATAGAGTAACAACTAAATAAAATAGAGCTATGAATTGTAGCACTTACGCAATAAAGTAGAAGTAATAAATAAATGCACTTTCTCCAAAAATGTGACACCCCGCGACACTAGCGTTTAGCTTGAAGAAGAAGGATTTCAACTGGAAGTCTGAAAGTGAAATATAGCGTTTTACATTTTAAAAATGGCTTTTAAGTGATAAAGTGAAAAGCCTAGAGAAAGAGCTGGCTGGGACCCTGTTTCATGCAAAAGTTCTGGTTTTAGCCATTTATTTTCAAGACATTGATCCAGTCATGCAAAAACTTTAGAGTTTGAGAACATAACAAATTGTGGTTGGGACTTTGTGCTGGTTGAAAAGTTGGGGAAAGAGAGAAACGGTTGCGCAAAATTGTGTGGAAAAGATGGAGTGAAAGTAGTAAATGAGGACGGATCAAGTAATAAGTTTGGGAGCAAATTGTTGATACCGCAAGATCGGCTAGGGTTTCGAGGAAACGGTTGGTGAAAGTGGGATCATTTTGCGGTTTCGAGTTTTCGAGTGGTTGTAAATAGTATCGTTTGTGATGCTTGGGTCAAAAATGGGACTAGTTTCGTGAGCTCGATTCCTGTTATATGCAAAAAAGTACAGTATTTTGAAAAATCTATATAAATATAAATTTGCAGCGATCTAAACAGCGAAAATGGTATAACTCAAGGCACGCTTGAGTGGGACTTTTTGAGTAAACAGTTGGTGAAAGCGGTTTCATTTTGCTGTTTTACTTTCGAGTGGTCGTTGTAACATGTAATTGTTATTTTGCCACAAAAAATAGCACTAATCTTGGTCACAGTTCCCTGGTTGGGTTTGTTGCACAAATTATGTTTTTGTTTGCAAAATCTATGTAAATTGAAGGCAGAGATGTAAATAACTGATACTACAAATACTGCAAATACGCTAATTTTATCACAGTTCGGCGCCCGTTGGTTGCCAAAAATATTGCACATAATTTCCTAAGTCTGTGCAAATTAAGGCCAAGTAGCCCACACGGGTTAAAAGTTTCAAAGCAAAAAGTTGAACTTGAACATTTTTAGCCGTATCTTTTCGTACACTCATATCCAGCCACGTTAAAATTTCATCGAGCTATATACGCACACACGTCCAGGAAATAAAAAAAGTGATTGCGCATTTCTCCCATAGCACTCTCCCCATAGTAGGCTCGACATCAAAGTGAAAGTTGTGAGGCCTTTGTTGTACCGAGAGAAAGTAGTTGAACGTGGTGGTGGTCACGGAGAGAGGGAGAGAGTCACCGCCAGCCCACCAGGTCTGGAGAAAGTATCGGGACACGAGACGGAGAAAGCGCTTCCTCCAAATCCTCTCCTGTATGTACATTTGTATGTAATGCATACGTAGCAGGAAGTCGAGGCAGAGTAATAATAAGGACTGGGAGAAAGCTCTAGTGAGCAAGGCGGTTTCACCGTTATTTCGTCGTACGGATAATGATACACGAACGCCTCGGGTTTTCACTTGTTGTTTGGTTGGCAAACAGTTCGCCTTGTTGTGTGTGTGCAGAGGAGACGGTAAACATGATGACGAAGAGAGAGAGAGAGAAGTGGGTGAAGTGGAATGGAGTGAGCAGAGGAAGCCAGGCAGTAGGTTAGGTGACATGTAGATTTGTGAGGTTTTCGGGGTTTGCGTAGGATTATGTTGGCGAGTTGATAGTGGAGGAGGATGCTTGAAGAGTACTTGATGATTTAGCTCTCTGGTTTTAGTAAAAGAGACACTTTATAAAGGAATAGTTACGTAAACATTTTATTGGATTAAGGGTTTAAAAAATGGAAGAAATGTCCTGGTCAATTTAAACATTTATTAATAAATTACTTTGAGTGGATGAAAGTATGTAAAAGGGACAACTTTAAACTGCATACCAATTTTTATAATAAATTATTGTATTAGGAGGATTATGTAGATTTGATGTTTAATTGGTTTAGTTATCTGAGCATAAATGAAACTTTCTTAAATGAACTTTTATATTTAGGAGTTTTAGTAATTTAATAATTTTGTAGTTGTTAGGATGGAGAAAGCGAAATTTTTTACTTGTTTTAATCAACTTCTTGAGAATGATCGTGCATAAATGGATGATGGATTAGAAAGTTGGATATTACTGCTTCCTCTTTTGTCAATGAAAGCTGTAGGTGGAGAAACTGTAAATATTTTTTCACATTTAGATAAACAATGGTTGGAGAAAGTGTAACTATACATTTCATGCTTTATCCAGGATAGAATTGTGCTGTAAAACTAGATCATTTGTTTTCCTTTTTTCTGACCCGAGTTTTACCAACTTTCGTTTGAATCAATGGGAATGCAAACTCATTAATCGATCTATCCGAAGGTGTTTATTAAACAAAAAAGGCTTTAACTCATTTATTACAGAGTTTAAAATATTGTAAATTTTCATTTCAGGTTGGATTGCCAAGTAAATATGTAATCCTGAAGTGAGAGACTCCTGGCCCAAACCATCAGTTGGGATTATGCTGCCCGTCATAAGAGCAAACTTTCTCCTCACTTTCTCCACATGTACTGTCCCACAACGAGCCTCAGAGAGGAGCCAAATCTCGAGTAGGACTGAACGTACTGCTGCATTTGCAACGAGGGAATAAGAGCCTGTGTACTTTCTCCCAGCATGCGGAACGCCGATCTGGCAGAGAAATCAGTCTCACGTACGCGATCCTTATCAGAAAATGAAACTGCTCTTCTGTTTCTCCGCACGCATAATTAATTAATTAATTTGTGGTTCGATGTACCGCGCACACATTTCTGAGTGCACTTTCTCCACGATACGTACATAAATTTATAGTGAAAGTGTGTGTGTGTAGGTTTAAAATTGTGTAAATGTGGAAAGTGAAAGTGCTTCGTGGCCGGAAAACTGCACGATGAGAGCGATTCTCCTTCTGCTGAGCGTGATTACAATCTCGTGTCAGAAAGTGAACCACAACTCGACCGCGACGCACGTGCTGCCTGTCCCGTTAGCACAGAATGGAGGAGGGGTTGAGGGGGAGGGGGAGCAGCCCCCCTTCGTGGGGGAGGGGAAGGGCTCCCCCATCAGTTTTGAGGGGACGGGGGGAACTGGCACGAGTTCGAATTCAGGGCCGACCCGATCCCGGATAGTGGAGACGAAATACGGGAAAGTGCAAGGGATCAGTGTCACCATTGCTCAAGGGAGACATAACCCGCTCAAGAATAAGATTGTCGAGGTAAGAGGGAGAGAGAGAAAGTCGATTTGGTTGGTTGAATGGATAATGGGAGAGATGCACTCTTAAAAATAAGGGAAAGTTTTATAGGAGTAAATGCAATCTGAATTGTTTGTTTAAGAGAGCTGTACTAAATCCAGCGTAATGCTGGCCTGAGAAAGAGTTAGGTTTAGTCTGGGTTTAGAATGCATATTTAATTTACTTAATACGGAATTCATTCCGTGTTTTAAACGTGTTACAGTATTTCTTAGAGTGTGATACCAAGAAGGGAGAAATGGAATTGTTGAAAAATCGTTTCAAAGACAAAAGTTGTAATGGGATACCATTTTACGAGGAGAATTTGGAGGGAAAGGAGATGCATATGCATATCTACAAATAGGCAATATATGTAGGCTTCCAAATGAGTATAAAAATGGGTTTACATTCTTTTAAATTTTTGCAGCACGAATAAATATGCAAAATTTAGCAACAACAAAAATTCTGACGTAAATTTCCTAAACTTGCGGATACATTTGTAACTTACATAATTATTTAAATAATTCGATCGCAAAATGACAATTATTTGAGGAAAATATTTGCAAAGTTGAACAGTTACTGAACTTCTAGTAAATTTGTCACATCTCTAAAAACGAAACGAATATGATATAAAAGGCTGAACCAATAATCTGCGGAAATGATGTGGCTCTTAGATTTGCGGACAGAACTTGTCCCAAAAACAGTGCAAATTTTCGTATTTATTTTCTTAAACTGGGTGAATTTGCAGGTTTACGTGGGGATTCCGTACGCCTCCCCGCCCATCAAATCGCATCGCTTCGGCCCCACTCAGACTGCGCTCCCCTGGGACGGGGTGAAGGACGCCGTCAAACCGGGATTCGTCTGTCCTCAGGTTCGCTCGCCAACCTAATCTAATTAATTACCCGACGCTGCCTGTGCATGAATCTCCTTGTTAAGCAGGGTATTGTTTTAGTTGCCAAACTTAACTTAATTAAGAGAGGAGACAAACATGACCTTCAAACCCAATAACGTAATCTAATTAACTTTCAAAAAGTATTTACAGTCTGGTAGCCAGACTTGGTTGAAAATTATGTAGGTTTATGTAAGTTTTATGTAAATATTACGTCATATTTATGTATGTACTTCAAGTGGTTTTATTTTAAAATGAATGACCCTTGAACATCACGGTTTACAGAAAGTGAAGTTTTTATTTAAAGCCTAGTACTCTGGACGGATTTTTCAATTAAAATGACAGGTTCCTTGTTTTATATTAAATTACAAATTCCCTGCGATTACTTAAATTTCGGAAGTGTTTCTTGAAATCAGTTTAAATAAATATGACAGTTAAATTCCGCTTTCACGTTTTTTCAAAAATTTTTCCGGTGAAAAATCCGCCCTGAGTAAAAACTTAACGTCCAAAACAATAACTACGCTTTAAGAATTCGGATGATATTTACTAAAATATGTGTGATTATCGGCTCTGGTAATCGTAGTTTTTTTCGTGTTGGTAGTGGTGTGATTTTTCATGTGCGCTAATTAATTTTCACCGAGCTGGTGGTGAGTTATTTTCATAAAGTTGTTACTGAGCGGTATTTTCCCTGTTGAGTTATAAAGTAATTTACGAGTATCAGCGTAAAGTTAATTTGTGGCTGGAGAAGGATCACGATTTAATGATGAGTAGGATTGTAAACAGAGTTGTAAACAGGGTGGGGAGAAACACGGGTGAAATTATTGCTTTATTCATACACATCTAAATAGCTCTACCTTTAAGTGCATTCGGTTTGGGGACGTCCATATATTACGTCATCAGAAAGGTGGGTGGCAAGTTTTTGGGTTGCCTATTTTGATCTTATTAACCTCTTTTAGACTATTAATTTTTTAATAAAATTTCCCTTCGGTACGATTTTGATTTCATAATTATACCTGACTAATTAAAATTTTCCACCAGTTTCCAATATTCGAGTTTTTGGCGAAAAACACGAAAATTCCACTTTTTAACATTGGTCGGTATAGGGAAAATTCCAAAATTTTAGGAGAAAAATATCGAAAAAAATCTACTTTTCAAAATCGAGTTTTCCACAAAATACCTAAGAAATGTTCTTTTTTAAAAGAAATTTTGGTGTCAATTAAATTTCTGAACTACACACATTTGTGTACTTAGTTCGTCGTTAAGAGGTTAACCTTAACATGAGCAGGATCAAGATGAGTGGGTTACGTAAAAATCGACGTTTTTTGATGACGTAATATATGAATGTCCCCCTTTTACACATGAAACGGAGAATGAACAACTGAAGTGGTTTGGAGAGAGAGAAAGTGAAGTAGAAAATCAAACCAGACCACAAAATACAACTAAAACAAGCGAGTAAATACGACGTATGTACGTAGGACATGGATACGTATGTTTCGAGTAATAATGGATGGATGGCAACATACAAACGAATTTATGCATGTACCGTCTGCCATCCAGTCTGATTTCCGTGTCTGTGTGTCTCTACTTTATGAGTTATTCATCAGCCCGACGAGTTTAATTTGATTCCTGGCGTAGACAATCAAAGAGAGAGAGAGAGATTCGTTTTGTGTGGAATGTGAGGAAATGTCGAGGCTCGTTTGTGAGCTGGGCAGTTTTTTTGGGTTGTTGTAGCTAAATTCCTTAGAGGACATATGTATGTACGGTGGGTGGGTGTAGTCAGTTCCAATGACAAACAAAAAGTTTATTTCAAGCTTAACCACTCATTTATGCAGCGAGTTTCAAAAGGGATGTGTCGTTGGAAATGGAAGAAAAATATAAAAGTACAAAGTTCTGGTTTTATCAATTTCTTTTTATCAATTTCTGACTTCGTTTGCGAAATAATTTACGAAATTAATTAGGTATCCTCTTTAGTAATTTTGTTTTGACAGGAGATTGCTTGTTCATAATTTTATCATCGCAATCCATTTCGTAAAGATCGTAAAACTTGTTTTGGTCATGGAATTCGCGAAAAGTATAAAAAAAACTGAAATTTTAATATATTTACATTTACGCAACACATAATTATGCTGATTACTTAAAAACATGCAGATTTTCTGTGTTATGTATTTGCGAAAGTTGCCGTCCGTGAGTGCCCCCATTATTATATTTTGTTCAACCACGAGAAACTTTCTACGTATTTCAAGAATCGAGTAAGCTGGATGAGATTATGTAATTATTTTTATTGATAAATATTTGTTTTCAGATGCTGCCCGACATCCGGAACGAGACGGCGGCTTTGAAGGAGATGCCTCGAGGGTACTTGGAGTACTTGAAGAAGGTGGAACCCTACCTCCGCAATCAATCTGAAGACTGCCTGTTCCTCAACATCTACTCGCCCAGTGGTGAGAAATTAGAGTTATACCCATTTATCTAATGACGACTTGTACAGTAAAAGCCATTAATACATGTACATGTACATATGCCCGCTCTCTAAAAAAATTATTTTTAAATAAGTTAATGAGTATTTCTGAAGAATTTAGTTTGCCAACCCATAGAAAGTCATTGTGAAGTCGATAATCTTATTGGTATTGTTGATTTTTTAATAACAGACTTTTTAATATAAACCTTATCGTGGATAGTCTCTTATTTAAAAAATCAAACCATAATTTGTGCAATTTTGGTTATAAGTAGGGCTTCCCACAAGACGGGACAAGACAAGATTCTCCGTCTTGTCTCGTCTTGTGACCATCTGCGGGACGAAATTTCAAGACAAGACGGGACGACAAGCTGTCCCGTCTTGTCTTGCGTCCCGTCTTGCCCGTCCCGGACAAGACGGGACGACACGGGACGCTCATGTTTTAAATGGGATAAATTTTAAATCTATTCGCAAAATTTAATTCGCTTGAGGAAACATGATACAAATTGTTTTTGCTAACTAAAGAATAGTTTAACCAAGGTTTCGGCTAGTAAAAACACATTACACAGGGGAGTGGAAAAAAATCCTTGCCATCCCTAAAACGTGAAAACCTCTGTTTTGGTTTGATCGGAAAATGCTTGTTTAGAAATTTATGTTCTCAAGACCTGACTTCATGTTCGCATTGTATACAAAATTCTAAATTCTAATGTATGATGACGGATGAGATTTTATCTCATCCGTCATCATGCTTTAGAAATTAGAATTAGGATTAAAAAATTAGAATTTAGATAGATTTTAAAGCTATCTAAAAAAATATTCGATGATTCGTTTCGACAAAATTTCCATTTTAAAGGAATTATAATTTCATTCAAGTTATATTCGATTGAACAAATATCACAGTTTTGCCAACTTATAAATGCAAATTAGATATTCCGAGACGAAAATATATTATTTAATTGGTCGCAAGACGTCCCGTCTTGCCGAGACAAGACGGGACAAGACGTTGTTCGTCCCGTCCCGTGTCCCGTCTTGCTTGCCAACACGCGGGACGCAAATTTCCGTCTTGTCCCGTCTTGTTATCCCGTCTTGCCGAGACAAGACAAGACTGTCCCGTCTTGTGGGAAGCCCTAGTTATAAGTGTGGCTCTATCGAATTTTGCGATATGTATTACCAACTTTAAGTACTGTACGCATTTTTCTTAAGTTGCAAAATTCTGGGCAAAGTATGTGTCTACATTTCTGTAGAATTGAGAATTATGAGATTACAGGAAATCCGGGTATTGAATAAGGCATTGATTTCAAGGTCGAGAGTGTAACTTGGTGAAGTGCATTGGATCGAAAGTAATGAAAGTAGACGACTGTGGCTTGAAATCGCATCAAATTTTATTCCCTATTCTCCCTCAGCGAAAAAAAAAGTATCATCGTCTTTAAAAGCTTGGAGAAAGGAAAAAAGGAGAAAGAAATAAGGGGTTGACGAAAAGGAAATAAAATTAGATTGATGTCGGAAAATGAGCCATTTCTTAAACTGCCAGAGTCAACTGGGTTCGCGTGAAAGACGGAGAAAGCACGGAACATGGAGAAGTTCAAAAGATATTTGAAGATCTGACTAACAACTCGTTCCCATTTGTTTATCTTGTACTGCTCATTTTACATGCTTTGTTAGCTGTATATCTGTTTCAATTTCTCTAACAAGACGTGCATTTTGTAAATAATTGGTGTTGTAGATAAATAACAAGACAAAATTATGGACGGGATCCTTGTAAAAAGATATGATTTTCAGTGTAAAGCATCGTACTCAGGAGAGATTTTCTAAGCGGAAAAGTTTGGCAAAAAGGCAAAAGGAAACGTAAGTAATATTTTGACTTAACAGATATGCAGAAACATGCCCGTTTTGTACACTATGTAGTGAAATTCAAGTAATTCCAGTGAAGTAGTAATTTAACACAAGGAGAAAACGTCCCATTTTACGTTAAAGAAAATCTGTCCTGAGTACAAGGCTTAGAAAAAAAAATTTTTTGTTACCAATATTTTGATTATTTTGTTACATTTGTATTCCTGTTTCGATAAGAAAACGTACATTTTTTTGTTAATAATTGGCATTCTGGATAAATATCAAGACAAAATTATGGATGTGATCTCTGAGAAAATTGGAATTCTAGATTCGTAAATAATAACACAAAATTATGAATGTGATCTCTTCGAAAAAAATGTATCCGTGAAGATCAATTATTCCACCCTGGTGAAACTGTGACTTCATTAACTTTCCAAAATTTAGGTGGTTGGCTGGCTGGCTGATCCATTTTTTTCGTTCAGATTTTATAATGAGACGCGAGAAGGTGATGGAAGTGGGCATAAAATGAGCCGGAGAAATAGCAATCAACATGAAACCTGTCTTCGTACGAAGTGTGAGTGAGTTGAGGTTGAAGTTGAGGCGAGTCAACTTTCTCCGAGCTTACGCAACTTTCCTGTTGAGTGATGAATAGCGCGGTGGCGTGGGGGACGTCCATATATTACGTCGTCCAAAAGGTGGGTGGATGCTTGTGGGTAGCCGATCTTGTTTGTACTAACAATGGGATGGTGTGAAGTGTAACCCTCAGATTTGGCAGAAATTTTGAAATTATGTGGTCCATGTCAATACAACCAACGTTTCTTCCGGAAGTTTGTGCGATGATCGGAATTTACCACAATATTTGAAGGCATAGCTGAAAAATCGGCGATTTTTTGCACGGGAAGAGAATGAAAGTTAAGTTTGCTTCCGCCGACTGTAAAAAAAATCGCCCGTTTTTCAACTTTTACCTCAAATATTTTTGCAAATTTTGACCATCGCACAAACTGCCTGAAGAAAAGTTAGTTGTACTGACACGGACCACGTAATTTCAAAATTTCAACCAAATCCGAGGGTTACACTTGACACCATCGCATTGTAAGCTTGGCACGAGTAGGATAGGGAATGGGTAGTCTAAAACTTCGCTTTTTTGATGACGTTTTATGTGAACGTCTCCTTTGGCGAGGTGTCGAGAAAGTGAGGCAGTTCAGGTCATCGTAATCCCAATTTCCGTCTGGGAAACGAAATGACAATCATCGCTGAAAACCCACACGTCACTCCGTCACTCATTAATGCGCTTCTTGGCTATAGTTTGACGTAGGATTTTGTGAGTGAGGATCTACTGTTCTGCTGGAGTGAATTGGATTACTGTTCGTTCAAAAAACGTGAGAGATTATCCGGTAAACTTTGTTTACTTATATGGTGCAGAGCAACAAATTTTTAAGGCATTGTTGTTCCTATTTTTGGAGCCGATGGTAGTGGCTGGTTAGAGAAAGAAGGAGCTTTTGAAGATGATAATTTTTTCTTCGATCTTTAAAAATGAGTAAGAATGAAATTGAACTTATGCTTTGTTTTATTTTGAAAGCAAAACTCTTCAATAATTTGGAAACCCCGCCAAAGCGTTTAACTTCATATAATTGAAGATAAAATATAATATTGAAACTTCCTCGAGATAACAAATTCGGACTGGTTGCATCCACCAACTTGCCAGAAAGTCGGGTTAAATCAGACTTCATAGTCCATACCATGATCGATTTGAAAGACAACAGAGAATTTGTAACTGAAATGCCGTAATCTGAAAAATCAAAGCCAACGGATCAGTTGCGTTATTTGTAAATAAATCTTTAATTGGTGTGTGACTTCAAAATTGACATTAAGAAAGTTGAGTTATGTATAACGCACCTCGAAATTACTGTTTATTCTTAGTGCTTTCTCCTGATTTTGATTACTATTTGTTGTTCTGATTAGCTTGAAATTCCATGTTGTCATTAAATTATCAAAATGACTTGAAATCGCAGCTCAATATGAGTGAAAGTGAAAGCAGATATCAAGAAACTGACAATGGAGGTCTCCCAACGTATGCTCACAGATTTGGACCAAACCGGTGTCAATCGATCACAAATATAATTAGTAGGAAATTTGCAAATGGAACTATCTGCCAATGCGCAGGTTTGGCGGAGATATTTGCATAAAAAGCAGAAAAATGCGCAGGAAATTTGGAAAATGAAAAATATGCCTTTCCTTTTGGTGCGTTTTCTCCTCTTTATATGCAAATATCTCCCGCCAAACCTGCGCATTGGCAGATAGTTCCATTTGCAAATTTCCTACTAATTATATTTGTGATCGATTGACACCGGTTTGGTCCAAATCTGTGAGCATACGTTGGGAGACCTCCATTGTCAGAATCGGAATGCTTTCACCATCATCAACTTCCTGTCTAACTTTCCCCGACTTCTTGCCTGCATCCATCCATCCATCCATCCATCAAGGGTCGCCTTCATATTGTTTTTTTTCTTCACAATTCGAAGCACGTTCTGACCAAATGGTGCCAATTTTTTGTCTGTCGCATCCTCCCTAACTAAAGAATGGGGGGAGATGTGTAATGTAATGGGACAAGTTTAGGGGAAGACGTTGTTCTTGCCGTGAGCGGATGGAACGACGGGTTTAAGAATATTATGCTTATTTGCATGTGGTGGGTGAAAGCGTCAAAATGGGAACGATGTGGGGAGAATTTTAAAGGTGGGATTTTTTGTGCTGTTTAAAAAGACAATATTTTTGGAAAGAAGTACTTTTTGGATAATAATTCCATTACTTGAAAACGTTAATTTGTAAAAAACGATACAGTTAGAAGGACAATTAGCCGAACCAGGTATTAATCTAGCTTATCTCAAAGGTGTTATTCCCTAGTGACCTTAAATAGTTCTACATTTTTACATGGGTTAAATGAAAAGGTGAAAAGCCAAGAAATGAAGGTTCCCATTTTTGAAAAATAAAAAACTTAACAATTTTTTGACCTAAAACACCATATTTCAGCTTCTACTAGTATTTTTTCCTAGGTGTTATAATTTTTACGCAGTTTGCCAAACTCATCATGAACATTTGGAGATTTTGCACACTTCTCCACGTGCTTTTCGACAAATCTGATACCTTTTCATATTACGA